GGTTTTACTTAAAAGAAATAAAGTGTCTGGAGCAGAGGATGGCAGGACAGCGGCAGCAGGTCGAAACGTGCCTTCTCACCCATGCAACCTCAGTTTTCAGCATATGAGCAGTCCAGCATGTGATCATTATTAATATCCCATCTGGCGTTGGTTGCTTGGGAGTCACAGAAGGGAAAACACAGTCGTCTACTTTGGCTCTAGATTAAGGGCTATATATATATTCATATATATATATATAATGTGTACATGCCACTCAGAACAGACATTGAACTGAATCTGTGAGCTTGCTGACGGCCACAGCAAGTCACCGAGGAGCGTTACCAATTTTACAGCCAGCAACTGCTGCAGCTTCAGGGTCAGCTCCTGGGGAAGCTTCACAAAGCCTGCGGGGTGGCAGCCTCCCCTCGGTCCCTATGTCAAGCCAAAGTCACCCCCCAGCATCCCAGTGTAAGGCCAAGGGGCCATGGGCACAACCTGAAGCAGAAGAGGTTCCAGTTGAACGTGAGGAAGAACTTGTTGACTGTGAGGGTGCCCGAGCCCTGGCCCAGGCTGCCCAGGGGGGCTGTGGAGTCTCCTTCTCTGGAGATCTTCAACCCCCGCCTGGGTGCTGTCCTGTGCCCCCTGCTCTGGGTGAGCCTGCTTGGGCAGGGGGGTGGCACTGGGTGGGCTCCCGAGGGCCCTGCCAACCCCTGCCATGCTGGGATTCTGTGATCCCTCGGCCCTTCCAGGAACACAGCTCTAGATTTAGCCTAAAGCGACGGTGGTTTTATCTAAAGATGAGCATCTTTCAAAAAGCGCAGAGCTAAAACACAGCCTGCAACGAAACAACAGCAAGGAGAATTAAGGCGCCGAGTAGAGCCAGACATCTTAATTGGCTTCGACCCTCTTAAGTCCTCCAGACATCCCATATATATATGAAAAAACCAGGCGGGGAGCAAGGCAGCTCCTAACTGGCAACCCTTCAGGGCAGGCAGGTCCGGAGCAACGCAGCCGGTGGCCTTGCCACAAGGAGAGGATTCAGCATTATCCCATCTTCTTCCTGGAGGAAAATGTTGCGTACCTGCCCCGTCTGTCCTGCAAATTCACCAGGCAGCTGCAGAAAATACCACCGCGGCCGGTCCCATTTACCTGGATAGCCCCCGGCATTGATCTTGTGCTTTTAAGACAGGGGCGGTTGCAGCTATTGCCCATGGTAAGGACGGGGGGAAACTTCTTGTAGCCCAGGCAGCTCCCGCAAGAGTTGGCAAACAGTTTTACAGCCACCTCATTATTGGGGCCTTTTATTAGCACTTCTTTGAAATGCAGCTTTTGAGTCTGCCCAGCGATACCCCAAGGGCAGTTTATAGTTTGTCCGAGGAAAGAGCACGATGCCGTCCGTACGGAAGGGCAATGTTTTGCCAGGTACAGCAGTCCCAGAGCATCCCGAAGGAGCGAGCCCCCCTGTTCCCATGACTAACTCCCAACCAGGGGTGAACACCCGCAGTGACAATTTTTCACGTACAAAGGAGGCAAAATGCAATGTGCTGCTGGACCTAACCCCCTCGGCTTTGGCCAGCACTGCCAGAGCTTGTCGTCTTGGCTCCCAGCGGCTTTGCTGTTACGAAGCGCCATAGAAAACAGCTTACAGAAAGTGGCTATGCAAAGCATGCCAGCTATCGAGCCCAGGAAGGATCAGCGCCCTCATTTCTCGTTCCAGCTCCTTCTAATAAAGGCGGATCACTTTGCAAGCCCGACGCATGCAGACGTTACTCAGACCGGGGCTGCAATTATCCCACGGGAAGCTCTGCCAGCCATCCCTTAGTGTAACTTTAACAGAGTATCAAAGGTGAGGCTGGATTTTTATAAAATCAATACCCTGGCTTTTATTCTGCCTGCACAGCCCCCACCGTTCCTCTTTTAAACTCGCGTTTGCAAGCAAAGAGCCTCTGCAGCAATTGAGGTCACAGCGCTGCGTGCCTTGGAGGAGCCGTGTGAAGCCACTAATCCCCCATGCTAAAAAATACATCTAAAAAACTAAAAAGTCATTATTTGTGATCTATTTAAACACTGACAAAAGTCTCAACATATTCCACCCCCCCTGTGCCCTTAGCAGCAGCTAAAATTTCGTGGCAGGGGTCCCCCGGGGGCGGGGCGCCCCTGGAGC